TGAAAGGTATGTTATCTTTGAGACATTGCTGTAATGTTTGTACGAATAGCTGCCACCGGGGCTTATAGTAATCCGAGAATAATCCCGACCAATGCTTACTCGCATAATCTAAAATCTGTTAAGGGGAGTCGGCCAATGCGAACTTTTGCGAACGATGGGGAGGGGAGGGGTAGAGCCCTGAAGAAGGTTCGCATTTAAACAATTTAAAGAGTTTAAGGGATTAATTTTTATTAAAGTTAATCTTTTGATAACAACAGTTTGATAACAAACTTTGAGTAAATATAACAGATAATAAAATATAAATGTTATGACTTTTGAATAGAAATAGTGTTAATTCCATATATTCTATGTCTTCAATGGGGGGGGGAGGTGTTAGGGACATGCGAACGTTATAATTTTTAAATGGCTACATATGAACAAATGCGAACAAAAGGGGGAGGGAGTCTAGATTTCTAAAAAAAGTGCAAATGTAATTTGTGAACGTTCCCTAACAAAAAATTTATTAATTAATAATTGATTAAAACAATTACGACTGAAAATCAAAGCCAAACAACTCTTCGCCGATTGCGTGAAGACTATAAACATCTGATTTGTGGTTATATTGTTTGCCAGACAATACTTCGAGCGCAGCGTATCCATGGGTGCCGACAGCCGTGCGTTTATATCGGTCGACAGTTTGGCCGTCGGTGTTGTTATCTGTGGCCAAACCAAAGTCACACAACTTTATAAACCAATTGGAGTTAATGTTTGTATCAATCAATATGTTGTCGGGTTTGAGATCTCGATGGATAACCTGTGGACTCGATTCGTGTAAATATTGCACACATTCTAAGAGCTCTTTGAATATTTCACATGATATGAAATATTCAAACACACTATTTATCGGGTCTTTTGGTTGTCTCCCGAAGACTATGGGTTTGTCTTTGAGAAGAGATGTGAGACTTTGCGGACAAAAATCCATCTGAATATAGAGATGATTGAACTCTAGCCATGAGTTGTAATATTTGACCACAAAATTTGTGTCCATTTTTGACAAACTTTTCACTTCTTTCAAAACTTTTTGTTTGCTTTCTTCACTAAATGCTGTAAAAATATTGTATTAAATATTTATATAATTGTATTTATAAATAGTTATCATATTTACCCTGAAATTGTACTTTTTTAACGGCATATATATTATCATCCAATCTGTGCCTGACTTTAAATACTATCCCAAATGATGACGAGTCGCCTATTTGTGAGATCTGTTTGAATTGTTGTTTATAAATGCCATCATTTAAATCAACAACATTTTTATCATCAGTGATTGCAAACAAATCACTGCCTTTTGCTTTACATAATAAGAACTCATAGAAAAATGAGTTTTTATTGGATTTAAGCGTATTTAGCATTTTGTTTAAATCCATTTTCATTGTTTTAATATAGGAGTTGTTTTCACTGGTATTTTTACTATTAATGGACCACTCGTTATAATAATCTAACACTTGCCGACACTCAGGCCTATCGTTGCATACGGGGTATGACATCATTGACTGTAGCATCCGATGTAAAAACATAACATGCTTGTTAAGCGCGTGATTTTTAGGGTAGTCATTTAATTTACTGCAAATATTTAAATTAAATTTAACATGGTTAGTACGATTTTAATTTATATACAATGTAATTGTTAAATTTGTTATACAACCTGTAATCTAGTTCCAAATCAAATATCTCAGCCCCGATTAAAGCCAAGCTATAGATATCTGATTTATGATTATAGTTAATTCTCTTAACCTCTGGTGCCATGTATTGGTTTGTGTCCACATTAGTTGTATGTGTATTATTAGACTTATCGTGTATATGCTTATCATGTTCTATTGCAAAGGCAAAGCTACCTAGTTTAATGAAACACCGTGGGTTTGTATTATTAACATTACCACTTGTATTATATGAAATTAGGACATTATTTAATGTGAGGTTTCTGTGGATTATCTGCGGCTTTAATTCATGTAAATATTGAACACATTCTAAAAGTTCCCGAAATATTTCGCACGATATATAATACTCGTACGCATTCATGGGTTCCGCAGGTGATTGTCTGCCAAACACCAGCCCTTTGTCGGCCAATACTGTCCGTAATGTTTGCGGGCAATACTCCATCTGAATGTACAGATGGTTACAGTTTCCATACCATGTGTTATAATATTTAACCACATAATCAGACCGTATTTTTGCTAAATGTTTTACCTCGTTTAATATGTGTTGTTTTGAATCGTTATTATCTGATTTTACATGAATAAAATCAGGTAAATTACACAAAATATAATTATAGATAGTTAACATTTATATTAATACCTAGAAAATTGACAATTTTAATGGCGTACACCTCTTGATCAAATTTATGTTTCACTCTATATACTATACCGAACGCTCCCTGACCGATTTTTTCCAATAACTCAAAATGATCAGCATAAAAGTTTTTATCGATCTTGTCGTTATGATCTACATAAATAAAATAAAGCAACGATTAAATATACTATTACTGTTATATAAATATAAGAATATATACATGTATGTTATCTTAGATATTAATATACCTATGTTATATGAATACATAAATTGTATAACATGTATATATTGTATATTAAAATATTACATAAATTTTACATTTATAATATTTTTCTTACCACCTGAAAGTCCCGACGGGTGTTGACTAGTCTTTGATTCTTTAGAACCCATTTGGGTATTATGATCAATTTTAATATGTTTTAGCTTATTAAATCAACTCAATGTTGCTTGTTTAAAAAAAATATAATGCATATTATATTTTAAACCAAAATTACACTTTTGAACAAAGAGTTTAGTGCCCTTTGTTGACAATTGATATCATTTTATTCATTTAATTGAAGTGAAATGCAATTCACATTAATTGCACAAGAATTTTAATAATGTTACAATCAATTAGTAATGCGATATTTGAATTCAAACACTGTTTTAATAATTATGAATAACCAAATTGTTATTACATTATGAATTTGCCTTCACATTCAATCACATGAATACTGAATTGTGAATAAGATTTACTAATTGTTATGAATTATACTCAAGATTGTCAATAAATGCTAAGAATCATATTGTTGTGTGCAAATAATATTCTTTATGGAAATCCCAGAATTTACAGTTATCTCAATTGGCGCTGGTCGGTACGATCACCTATGTCCATCATTGCGTCGTACAAGTTCTGGTCGGTTACAGCATTTGCCGTAATTTAATAAATTAGTGGAGAGAAACTTGATCGAGACGATAACCAGCAGTCGGATGTTTGCCACACTGTATGGAAGTTTTACAAGCATTTGGTCGCCGGACAGTACGACAAACTCAAAGAGTTGAGACCATTGTTATGGGATTTGATCGCAAATAAAGACAAAGGCGATGAAGACATACCCTTAAGAATGGATGTATTGATTGCGATGATAAACAACGGATTTCACTTAATATCAATGCATATTTACGTCTTGTGGACGACAGTTTGAGCCTTTAGATGACTATAACAAACATTTGCGTGAAATTCATTTAAACACAATTGCGATAAGTGTCACAAAGTCTTCCCAGCACCGGATCTGTTGACTAAATACCACTCGTGTCCACCAAAACCATACAAATGTCCGCTTCAATGGTGCGGCCGATCGTATCCATCGGAGTCTCAATTAACACGTGAACAAACATAACGGTCTTCGGCCCTATCGATGCACTCACGAGGGCTGTGGCCGTGAATTTCTGCGACCTAACAATCGGCGCCGTCACATGAAAACCGTCCACTCGTCCGCACCCGACGACAAATCTATTCCAAAGCAGTTTCCGTGTCCGTAAGCGATCTATGACCGAGTTTTCAAAATTAACAAGAGCTTGTATGTACACATGAATGGCGTGCACTCGACCCGTGAGTATCGGTGCGATTGACAGACTGTGACTACAAGACACGCACACAGAAGCTGTTAAACAATCACCGACTCATTCACAGTAAGGACAAGCCGTACGCGTGTGATTGGCTCGCGTGTCAGTACAGAGCGCTTAGTTATACTAATTTATATTCACATAAAACGACTCACAACGACAATAGACCGCTGGCCTGTGATTGGCCCGACTGTCGGCAACATTTTAAAACTAAATTAAAGTTACAAACACATATGAATGTTCACCAAGCATTGGTTCCACACGTCAATCAATCGGCCGACAAATCCTATGTATGCGCTCACGAGGACTGCGGCCAACGGTTCGCCACAAATCTTCAATTAATTTGTCACGTGACAGCTTTGGGGCGAAAATCGGTTTGTTTCTCATCCAATGGTTCGACAACATTCCAGAAATTCCAAAACCTCTGCAGAATTTCTCACATTTAAAGTGAATTCAATAAAATTCAATTCAGTATATTTGGATCAGAAGATAATGGCCGACATTATCAATAGGATCTGTCGTCTAATGGCAAGAATGACCACCAATAAAGAGACGTCGATATCTATCTGTCACATAATGGACGCGATTCTCGTCAAATCAATGCTTCCGACGATATGTTTGACACAATTTGTGATCGTTGTGTGTAAAAGAGTAAACAATACATCGTTTAACGCATTATGCGTTGATATCATGCGAAACATATTGTCTTCACATTTAGGCCATTCATGTATCGAGACTTTGAAACCAATTATGATGACACGTCTTTAATGAGAAAAGCCGTGCATTTCGTCACCCGATCCGTATCGAGAACCTCAAACACAGCCCAAACTCAATACTTCCGGCCTTTAAGAGTTCCCGTCAATGCAAACACCAATCGGTAGCTCCCGATATGTCTGTCGCATTGATCGACAGCCAGAAGCACATTGAAAGCGAAGTGACGTGGGATCTTATGCTGGAAATCATGGACAACATTGTGTCGAATTACGAGATTACTGGCCAACAATCGGGCCACGAGTTAAGTCAAACATTTCAGCGATTGTTTGATGTGGTGGAAGAGCTGAACGAGAAGAAGCAATTCTTTGGCAACTCAAACAACTTGTTTGACATTTTGGAAAAGTGTTCACCGCATCGGCAGGCAGTTCAGTCACCACCAGTCTGGTCACTACTACCACCGAGTCCGTAACCACTATCGGCCCCGAAGTGACCGCTGATGATAAATCAATGAGTAGTTCCGATACTACTTTGCAAAACATGGTCACCACTAGAACTACTACTACACCCACTATCATTACCGCAGAACCAAACACTTCTGACTAACCGGTCATAAAACGTGTCAGTCCAGATACAACTACTGTCGACACCATACCTACCACAAGTTCGGCATTAACTGATACATCTATTACCACGACTACCACTCCAGTAGACATCACTTCCACCGACTCGATCGCAAGTAGAAGTCCGACCATCACAAGTGCCAGTACTGTTACCACAACTCACGGTTCAGTCGCCACAGATCAAGACCTGATCACTTCCGACAATCCAGTCACCACGACTACTACTACTGCGGACATTATTAAAGCAAATGACAGTCCAATCACTACAAGTGTATTCATCACCACTACTACCACAGCTCCCGATCCCCTGACCATCACCAGTAGTTCCAGTCCAGTAGTCGTTGACACAGAATCGACAAACATTGCCATCACTACTGACACCACTACTGCTCGCACCGCATATCCGGCAACTGATTAAACATTAGTTTCACCGAAAGTTATGGACATTACAGACAATACATTCCGCCCGTCTAATGCTATACTCGAGATCATTGCCATTGATACTGTAGTACCAGCCATTGAATTGACAATACTTTTCACACAAAGCATAGCATTGGCCGTTACAACACAGCCAACCACTGTAGACGCGGACCCGTTAACACTATGAACGTCATACCGTATTTAAATGGAACCTATACCGTACCTCATAGGTACCCAGATAGTAGAGACCTAGACTCTCATTTAATCCCAAGCTCGCCCAATCCGGCTAATCGTGCCCGTGATGCGCCGCCATCACCGTACAGATTCTGCGCAGAAGTGGGAATCACATCATACCACTGGCATCGAGAATGCAGTCGTAGGCGTAGGCATAACCATATTTAACAATAGCACACCCAACAACACTGTACAACTATTCAATTAAGATGAATATCGTTATTGTTATAGTTTGTACTAAATTGGGTATAATCATTATTGTGAAATACTTGTCAACTTTGGTAATTAAGAGCGTGACCGCGCGTCAGCGCTATACCAAACCCTACCGCAATGGTTCCCAAACCGTATCGCAATGATATTCTAGCACTAGTAGTTTCCTAAACGGGACAATCATTCGGTAGTCAGATTACATCTGAACCGTTTCTACCATGATTAACCCAAATCATTGTCTGACTGTAATTAATAATTACTTGATTTTACTTTAAGCTCATTATTTTGTTCTTTCTAGATATCTGGTCGCATTATTGAATAATTGACTTTAATTAAAGCAATCACATGCTTTACATTTATATAATTTCAATTGTTTAAACATTTTTCTCATTTTTATAGTTTACCGTCTAATTCAGCCTTTCACATACCTTCAGTCTAATACATGCCATGACAATTACAGGACAGTTCGTTTTATGGTCTTTTTTATATCTAAATTTCAAGATGGTTACACAAGTGTACGGAATCATAGAAGCGGGGGAATGAAGTGAAATGCAATTCACATTAATTGCACAAGAATTTTAATAATGTTACAATCAATTAGTAATGCGATATTTGAATTCAAACACTGTTTTAATAATTATGAATAACCAAATTGTTATTACATTAT